AAATGGGGGAAAACAGTGGCAATGAAAGACATTTAAGAGAGAAAAAAAAAAGAAAAAATATGGGAAGCAGTGGTTGATGAGCTTTTGGAAGACAGATTCTAAGAATTATAACAAGCTCACCCTAAAAGTGAATACCCCAACAAACAACGATTTTGGACATGCAAGAATAACATTTCAACTTAAATTGTGATGGTAACCGGTATAGAAATCATTATGTCAATATTGCTTTTGTCTTTCATTATACATGAACAAAGAAAGAAATGAGGTTAAAGTAGTCGGGTAGAGATAATCAAGTATTCTATTTTTAGCTGTAATAAATTAACAAATTATGGTTAAGAAAATTCTAATGTTTTGGGATATCAACATGGGTGAAAGGAGTGGTAATGGAAGGTTTTTATGAGAGCAAAGAAAAGAAGAAATACCTGAAGAAATATTGGAAGTAGTGGTTGAAGAGCTTTTGGAAGACAGAATCCAAGAATGACAATAGGGCCTCCTTGTAAGTGAATTAAATAAAACAAAAGATGTTCATATTTCTTAGTTTTCCTTAAACCATTCATAACTCATAATTGTCACCCATAGTAGAGATTTGGAACTGAGCTGACAACCCTTGATAAAGCTTTCCAAGTAACCTATTAAATCTAACATAAGATGCAAAATACTATATAGAGAAATAACAACAAACTATGAATAACTCATATCATACAACAATAGTAGTAGAATATCAATTGCTAAACAAAACAATCAAGGTAGATATCGTGTTTGGATTTAACCAAACAAAAAAAAGCAAAGGTAATCTTTTACCTTATGTACCGTCACAGTAAAGAGAGTTGGACTTGATAGAGGAGGAAATAGAAATTGGGCAGTGAGTAGAAAAGAAACTAACAACAGTTAGGAGTTTGATTGTTGAAAGAAAAGATATCAAAAACAACAAAATAAGAAGAATATTGTTAAATTTGTAGTTATATCTATCTTCATATATGTAATGAGAAATGAATTGGATACTAAGAAATGAGTAGTCCTTTTTTAAATTGAGTGTATTTGTTTATTTAATAATGACTGTGTGCTATGTATACTGAGAAATGAGTAGTCTTTTTTTATTTTTTTATTTGATTCAATGAATTGGATAGATATTAATTGAAATTTAAACATTCATGTATAATAGTAAATAATATTAAATTGTAATTAATAAATATTGTATGAATCAGTCTTTTAAGTATTAAAAGTAAGAAATTATTGTTTTAAAGTTTTTTTTACTAAAATAAATAAAAGCAAACCAAAGATTTTTTAAAAATTTTGTTCAATGAATTGAATAGATATTTATTGTATTTTAAACATTCATGTATAGAAGAGCTGTTTAAATACTATATATTCAAGTTCATGTAAAATAAGAGGATATAAATAGTAAATAATATTGATTGCAATTAATAAGTATTATATGAATCTGTTCTATAA